ATTATAAAAAAAAGAAAAAAGAATTCCTACAAATTATCACCAAACAACCCAATTAAAAAATGGGCAAGGGACTTAAATAGACATTTCACTAAAGAAGATATAAAAATGGCCAATGAGCACATGAAAGATGCTCAGCATCATTAGTTAGGCAAATGTAAATCAAAACTACAACGACATACCACTTCATACCTGTAGGATGGTTAGTATTTAAAAAATGGGAAATAATAAGTGTTGGCAAGGATGTTACTATGGGTTGAATTGTGCCCCCTCCTGCCCCCCAAGTTCATATGTTGAAGCTGTAGCTCCCAATGTGACTGTATTTGCACGTAGGGTCTTTAAGAGACAATTAAGGTTAAATGAGGTGATAAGGATGGGGCCTTAATCCAATAAGAGGGGCAGGAGCTCTCTTTCTGTTTATGTCCCTGAGTGCTCAAGGGATGAGTGGGTAAGCAACCTGTGGTCATCCACATGCTGAAATAAAATGGACCGAGCTATTCATACACACGACTACTTGGATTAATCACAAAGGCATTGAGTGAAAGAAGCCAGTCTCAAAAAGTGATACACTGTATGATTCCATTACATGACATTCTCGAAAAGGTAACACTATAGGGATACAGAACAGATCAGTGATCGTTAGGGGTTAGGAGGGGAGAAAATATGTTTATAAAGAGATAGCACAAGGGAGGTATTCTGGGAGGTAGACCTGCTCTGTACTCTGTATTCAGTTAAAATTCATAGAACTATTCATCAAGATTTTTTAAAAAGTGAAGTTTATTTTATACTAATTCAAAATAAACAATAAACAGGAGACTCAGACAGATTGAGTGACCTGCCCAAGGTCACATGGCCACAGTGGTGGGCTAGGATGTGGACCCAGGTTTATCTCCTTCTAAGATTGCCTCCTCTCCACCACACCGCCTCTCAAGGGCTAGTGTGAGGGGAAAATGAGAGGAGGGCGTGAAAGCCCTTTGTAAGTAGTTAAGGGCTAGCGAATGTCAGGGCTCCTTATTAGTTAGGGAACCTGGCCGTTCCTCCAGCCTCAATTTAATGAAGAGCATTAGTACTACTGATTTGTACACTCAGCTCCGACCTTTTGTATGTTAAGACCTGGGGTTCTAAAAAACAAAACAAACAAACGAAAAACAACAGGCGATGTCTTCACTCTGTCTTCCCTAAAGTTCATGTCTTTTGAAGAGAAAAAAGCTGAAAAAATATCTGGCCACAGTTTAAAATGAAAATATTGCCTACTCTGGCTCATGGGCGATGGCACAGCAGGGTGCGCAGGCCTCTACAAGGGGCAGGGTCAGTTGGGATCATTATCACCAAAGACCAAGAGAGGGCGAGCTGAATCCTCTGGGTTGGGAGCGGACAGGGCCCGGTGTCACCCCTGTGCCCCGGCAGGAGCAGGAGTCAGGCTGAACCCGATTCAGCCATTCCCTCCAATGAGAACTTACAGTCACTTAAGCTCTCTGAGCCTCAGTTTCCTGATCTGTAACATGGGGCAGTAACAGCACTTGGATTCTATTTTGGTGAAGGTTAAGTGGCAGTAAAGTTCTCATTGATGGCTGGAACATCATTCATTGCTGGTCAATGAATAGTAAATGATAATAATAAACATCAACAATAATTACCAAGCTCTTAGGCTCATATAACACAAAGATAATTTCAAAGTGAACCACAACTATTACAGGATTCAGAAAAAATACATTTACACCGTCAGTTTAATACTCTTTCCCAGGAGACCACCCAATCCTGATCACTTGCCCTGGCCGGCATGAACGAAATAAAACCAAGGGCAGTTCGTTCATTTGTTCATTTCTTTATTTATCCAATGAAAGCACAGTGGTAGGACTGGAGATTCAGGGGCAAACAGGACGGATGAAGTTTTTGCTTTCGTGGAGCTTCAGAACCCGAAGGGTAGACAGACTATAAGCAAGTGATCGCGTAAGTGAGCAAGACCACTTAGACGGCACTAAGTGCTTTCTAGGCAATAAGAAGGGCTGATGTGATAAGAGTGAACTAGATGGCCATTTCCACAGGGTGGCAGGGAAGTCCTCATTGGGGAGGTGACTCTTAAGGTGTGTTCTGAGACTTGAAGACGCCACCCATTTGGAGATATGGGAGAGTCCCAGGCCAAGGCCACAGGAAGCTGCTGACTCCCTCCAGGGAGGTTGGAGCTCTGTGAAGACCAGAGCGAATGACATTCTTAGTTGAGATCAGGGCAGAGGCCAGCTCCTGGAGATGAGCAGCCTGGGTGAGAAGTTTCAATTTCAAGTTGAATGAGAGGCCAGTGGTGGGTTCTTTAAAGTTGGTTAAGTGATGCAAATATTTGAAGTTATCAGGCCAGCCCTAGCCAGTTTGTCTCAGTGGTTAGAGCGTTGGCCTGGGGACTGAAGGGTCCTGGGTTTGATTCCAGCCAAGGGCACGTACCTTAGTTGCAGGCTCGATCCCCGGCCCCAGGTGGGGGACGTGCAGGAGGCAACTAATTGGTGTGTCTCTCACATCAATGTTTCTTTCTCTCTTTCCCTCCCACTCTCTCTGAAAAGCAATGGAAAAAATATCCTCGAGGGAGGATTAAAAAATAATAAAGTTATCAGGCCAAGCTCTCCAAACTGAGGTTAGCTTTGCGAACGGGCTGAGGAACTCATAAACGAGGTTATGCTGTGGCATTACGGGTGTGAGGTTCTCCAGACCATGGGGTGAGGACCCAGTTTGGAGGGTGGGCAGCAGGCTCCAAAGAGCTGGCTGTTTTTTTTTTTATAGCAGTTGATACTAAAAGGGCTTGGAGAGCTCATGGCAGCAGGAGTGTTGGAGAATCAGGGTCAGAAAACGGGCAATCACTGGGACCACAGCCAAAACAATGTCACAAAACTAGTCTGGGAGGTGTTGGCTGTTGACTCTATGCTAAACACTGGATGTCATAACCCATTTTGCCACCTGCAGTGGGCCTTGGGCGCTGCCAGTGCTGCTGCCCACGGTCACAATGGACAGCAGGGTGAATGTCCCTGACTGGCGGAGGTTAGGCAACCACCTTGCTGTAGCTGCAAGGAAGCTGGAGAGCAAGGTTCAGACTGAAGAAGAGGTGCTCCTACGGGGCACAGCTGTCAGAAGGCAGACCAAGAGGGACTGGCCACTTCAAGATCAAGCCGTCTGGGCCCTGTCAAGCTCTCCAGAATTAGCTTTCATCGTTCTTTCATTCTCTTAGCAATCTTCTTCTAGACTGTGAGCTGGTTGAGGGCAGAGACTTTGTCTAACTCAGCTGTGTCCTTTGGGTATAGCACACAGTAGGCACTCAGCAAATAATTCCACTAATATCTTGGGGAAGATTTATGTCCACCGGTTTCATGAGGCAACAAAAAAGCTGGATATATATGTTACAAGAAGACATTTTGGCTCCATGTAAGACAAATCCCAGTGAGTCTTCAGGTAGACACCTCTTTTCTGTCCCACACCACTCTCGTTCTCCCGGCAACTGTTACCCTCCATTCCAACTACGAGGTTCTCGAGGCAGTCACTTTTTTCTATGTGAGTCTACCAATTGGTCCAGTTATGGGAACCTGACCCAGCTGGGGTTTTCAGAATCAGAACCTGGAGAGTCCCTCTCATCTCACGTGGCAGGAGCTGTGGAGAAGAGGTGGCAGCATCCAGTTTTCTGCCATATCTCAAGTTAGACTGTGAAGGAGCAGTAGTGAGAGCACCAGCAGCGATTCCCTGGTTCCATTTAGTTGGGTCCCCCTGTATCTCTAGCCCTTTCTTCTGTTCCAGTACATAGCCCCACAGTTCATTAAACTTCCTTTTACCTAAGCAAGAGCTAGGTTTCTGTACTCAGCACCAGGAGTCCTGATAAACACCCAAGAAGTCTCCAAACATGTAATGTTGTCACTTGTGCGAAAAGTAACGTGGTTTTCACTACTGAAAGTATTCATGCAGTTTAAATGACCAATGTGAAAGGGATTTAAAGAGGGTATTTCTATCATGGGTGGAAGCCCTAAAATAACAGCAATAGTAGCAGCTACCTCCATGTGAGTGCTCGCTATGAGCCAGGCGTGTATGGTAGCTACATGGGGAAGCTGGCTTGGATCCGGGTTTATTAAGACTTAAAAGTTCAGTTAGAGGTTCTCAAACTTCTTAATCTCAGGATCCTTTTATGATCTTAAAAACTGAAGACCTTAAAGAATTTTTGTTTCTATGGGTTATACCTATATTACCATAATGGAAATCAAAATTGAGAAATTAAAGAACAAAAAAACCCCATCACATGTTAACATAAATATTTTTATTACAAGTAATTATTTTTAAAAACAAAATTAGATGAGTGGCACTGTCGTACATTTTTGTAAATCTCTTCTACATCTGACTTAATAGAAGGCGGCTGCATTCTTATGTCTGCTTCTTCAATCAATACATTGCTTTAACTGAATTGTATAAAGAAGAAAAGCTGCCCTCATAGATCAGCAGTTGGAAGAGAAACTTCATGAACATCTGAAAGGGTTTCAGGTGCCCCCAGGAGTCCTCCGACCACACTTTGAGAACCACTGCAGTAACTAAACTGCTTCTCAGGTAAAGACTATACAGACATTGAATAGTACAACTGGCAAGTCCACCATGGCCAATACAGTTCAAACAAACTTCAAAAGGTGGGGGTAGTGAAGGAAACTGAATTCTCTTGATAATTAAATTTTAAGGGACACCAATTTTTAACTTGGGTTCATAAATTATTCTTCTGCCAGCCAAGATTACATATCAGATTTTTCAAGTTTACTTTTATAAACTAAGAAGAGAAAGCAACATGTCATACACAAAGTTAACATTTGTAGAGTGCTTTTACAGTTTACAAAGCTTTCTGTGCCCACATGATGCCACTGAGTCCTTAGAAGCCTTCTAGAGGAGGAAAGCTTGGAGCAGGATGTGGGCAGAAGCTTTGTGACTAAGTGATGCGCACACAGGACACCTCTGCTCTGGCTCTAATAACAAACGTCTCACTTTCACAAGCTGGCTTTCCAATCTAGGAAGAGGGACCCTTTATTTATGTTCACTTTTTTCACATACACAAGAAAGAGCATCTATTATAGAATCCAACTGGATTTTATTTGACACAGAACACAACAGGACTGCGGGAATAGCAAACTAAAAAGACAAAGCAGAAAAGACCCGGTTCTATCTAACTTACAATTAAGTAACAGGAGGGCAAGTCATTAAATGAGTAACAAAACAGATGAGCTTGATGGAAGAATATTCTTTTTCTAGTGCCCATACCTGAAAGACAAAGTAAATCATTTTACTAATTCCTTAGTAATTTCCTGTTTTGAGACTATAAACCTGCTTAAACATATGAGCAAATTGGATGAAAACTTAGAAAAGATGTAAGGCTGGGTTATGACGCTGGTCTCTCGCCCCTTTCATCTTGCCACCCTCTGTAATACCTTACCTACCACCCTCCACCCCGTTGGTAAAGGTCCCTCCCTGAGACTCCACTATGCCCACTGACTCCCACTTCCAGGTACCAGAGAGATGGCGGTGGTGGTAGGGAGGCGAGAGGAAAAAGTTAGAGCTGTGGTTGTGAGAAGGACTCCACCTGTTGGCTCTGGTCGGTGGCTCCAACAGTTTGAGCTCTTGACCTCACCCTACCTATGGCAGCCTTTTCCCACCCCTACTGCAGTACTCAGGCGCGTTTGGGGTACGGCAAGTACAGAGAACAGTAATAGAACAGCCTTCACTTTCAAGACCTACCACCAGCTGCCATTACAGCTCTGATTGTATTCAGTACTCTAGAAAAACTGCAGAATGTGGAAAAACTAAGAGTGGATTTCAAGTGGTTTTGGATTTCCCCAGAAGCCAAAATCTAACAAGATTATAAAAGTAAACAAAGCTAGGAAATTTCTTCCACATATAAATGGATTTCTACAACACAAAATTCTTCATTATCTTACTTAATCTTTAGTCCTGGTTCTTTCTGGGCAGTTAGCCTCTGATTAAAATATTTCGTTATATGGATGAAAACCACGGTACTTGAACTCCGGGTCACTGCTTCAATCATCCTGAAGGACTACTAGATCCTTAAAGCTCTTTTCATTAGAAATCCACTTGAATATTGTCTAAAAAAAAGTGCCAAACTCACACAGGGTAGAGTTCTAGTGTTTGTTAGTGGGCTGGAGAACAACCTAGAAGTTGCCTATCAGATTCAAGAATGCTGATTTGTTCCTTATGAATTTGTTTTCCCGATGCACTGAAAACCGCTGCCAGGCAAAGTCACTACTGGTTGGATACAGTGACAGTGTCAAAGCCCAAAATACAGAATTCATCACACTCTCCACTTCTTAGGCTCAGCCCTGGGCATATGTAATGGGCAACATGAGACAATTTGGGTCCAAAACAGAATCCTAAGCCTGCTCTAAGGAAAAGCAAGTCACAAAGCTCTGGAGAACTCAGAAAAGTGTTTCTGCCTGGACATGCATTACTATCCTGGTTCCACTCAGAACACAAGCTCCCCAAGAACAGGGAAGGACTGTCTCACACATATGCATCTTACACCTTACTCAGCATACACTTTGGAGAAGAGTGCAATGGTATGAGTTAGATACTGAGTATTTGGCAGGTTTCTTAAAAATGAACATGCATTTGATATGACTTTCCAAACTCTTTAAGTAAATAATTCAGTCTAAAAGTGAAATAACTGTTCCAATAAGGGGATTTCTAAACACTTAACAAACTAAAGAACCCTATTTTTTGCTTTTAAACCTAATTATATCCTATTAATCAAAACACATTTAAATAAAAATTCTCTGCCTCATAAAAATTTTAAAAATACAACTAAATACTAATTTTCAACTATTAAAGCAGCTAAGATGGAGTCTCCCACCTTAGTCGTCTAATCTCACTCTTGGAGGTAATCACCAGCAAGAGCTGTTTAGCTTTCCTGCGAATCTCCATATATGTACTTTTATGTACATGGGTGTAGATGCACTGTTTAGGGGGAGTGTAAATTAGTATATATTCTGAAGAAAGGAAAATCTGACACTATTAAAAATAAAAAATTCCTTACTCAGAAATTCCTCTTTTGAGAATTACTGTTTCAGATATACATTACTTACACATACACAAAAAGATTCATGTATAAGGATGTTCATCCTTACACATTGCTTTTAACAGTGAAAAACTGGACACCCAAATGCCGATCAACAAGGATTGATTAAATAAATTATGGTACATCTACATAAAAAACATACTCTGCAACCACTAGAAAGGAGGTAGTTTGATATGTGTAAATATGGGAAATCTGCAAAATGAAATGAAAAAGCAAGGTAAATTATTATATAAGACGCTCATATCTATGTTAAAGAAAAAATTATGTATGTATACCTACCCATATACAAGTACATACATAGAGATAGGCAGGAAAGCTAAGAAGCTCTTACTGATGGTTACCTCCAGGAGTGAGACTAGAAGACTAAGTGAGAGACTCATTTTTGTGGTCAGTCTATCCTTTTGAGCATTTGAATTTTATTTCACCATGCCAAGTTTTATTTACATAGTAACAGTAATGTTGAGATAGCCATAAATGCTGTATCAGAATTAATCTGCATAAGATAAACCAAACAAGACAGGTGCATATGATTCTGCCCAAAACCAAGATAACTGACATTCGTTAGCCCCTGGAGCCTTACTATGGATGTGATTTTGAAAATACTTAACAGTTTACAGATCCTCATATTTTCTACTCTCCCAGACCCTAGACAGTTGGGAAACTCTAGGTTGCAAACTTCTAATGTTGGTGACACCGCTGTATTTTCCACATAGGTGTCCTTAATTAACCAAAAGCTGGTTTATAAAACAAGGTATGCTCCATGGCTCCATGTTTTAAGACTATAAGCCTTCAGCCTGAGGTGAGAAAAAGAATGGCACTGACACAAAGCCCAGTCTTACAACACTGAGACAGAGACACTTACTTTTGGAATTCCCACTCTCTGTTGTCCAGTGGACACACCTGCCGTGTTTTGAGCCAGCGAGAGATGCAGTGGAAGTGAAAAGCATGCTGGAAGAGAAGATACATTTTGTTAAAAATTACCGTGTAGGTTCAACCATCCACTAATAACATGTCTCAAATGCAGTAGGGTGGTTATGTACAGGGGGCTCAAGAAGAGCAACGGGAGACAAGAAACAGCGAGAGGCAAAAGGTTAGGACACCTACAATGAAACATCTGCTAGAAATGTCATTACTACTGAAGGGAGAAACTACTTAGGAAGAACGGCGTATGTTCTAGCAGTGAGCTCTCTCCCCTTCTCTAAGGGAGGTGGAATGTGGCTCCCTGGTCCTATCCAGCCTCTACATTCCTTGGACAAAAGCAGATTTCAAACTTCCCCATTCTCGGTCCCAGCTGCACTCCCCTCTCCTTGGAGAACAGGAACCCCAGGGGAAGAGCCTTCGCAGCCCCTGGCAGTGCACTACCACTGCCACCCA